TTTACATTAAGGTCTTTGAGGAATTGCCAAACAATTTTTCAAATAAGCTATAATATTTTACATTCCTGGAGCCAGCGCTGTGGCTCACTTGGTTAATCCTCCGCCTGCGGCGCTGGCATCCCACATGGGTGCCGGGTTCTAGTCCTGGTTGCTCCTCTTCCAGTCCAGCTCTCTGCTGTGGCCCAGGAAGGCAGTGGAGGATGGCCCAAGTGCTTGGGCCCCTGCACCTGCATGGGAGACCAGGAGCAAGCATCTTGCTCCTGGCTTCGGATCGGCACAGCACCAGCCGCAGGGGCCATTTGGGGGTTGAACCAATGGAAGGAAGACCTTTCTGTCTGTCTCTTTCTCTCACTGTCTAACTCTATCTGTCAAATAAATTTAAAAAATAATGGTAGTTATTTAAAAAATTTTTACATTCCCACTGGAGTTATATGTGGGTTCCATTTTTTCCAAATTTTCACCAACACTTGTTACTTTAAAAAATAATTTTGGATTCAGAGATGGGAGAGGGAGAGTGGAAGATGGAGAGAGGGCAAGGTCATCTGCTGGTTTACTCCCCAAATGCCAGTAACAGCTGGGACTGGGCTGATTCTGGGAACAGGGAACACAACCAGGTCTCCCATGTGGGTAGCAGGGACTTAAATATTTGAATTATCATCACTGGCTCCTAGGATTTGCATTAGCAGGAAGCTGGAGTCAGGAGCCAGAGCAAGATTTTGTACCTAGGAACTGTGATGTGGGATGTGGTTATTTTAACTGATGGGTTTTTTTTTTTAACTTTTATTTAGTGAATATAAATTTCCAAAGTACAGCTTATGGGTTACAATGGCTTCCCCCCAAAAAAAACCTTCCCTCCCACCTGCAACCCTACCCTTTCCGGCTCCCTCTCCCCTTCCATTGACATCAAGATTCATTTTCAATTCTCTTTATATACAGAAGATCAGTTTAGCATACATTAAGTAAAGATTTCAACAGTTTGCTCCCACACAGAAACATAAAGTGAAAAATACTGTTTGAGTACTAGTTATAGCATTAAATCACACTGTACAGCACATTAAGGACAAAGATCCTACATGAGGAGTAAGTGCACAGTGACTCCTGTTGTTGACTTAACAATTTGACACTCTTGTTTATGGCATCAGTAATCACCCTAGGCTCTTGTCATGAGTTGCCAAGGCTATGGAAGCCTTTTGAGTTCACCAACTCTGATCATATTTAGGCAAGGTTGTAGTCAGAATGGAAGTTCTCTCCTCCCTTCAGAGAAAGGTACCTCCTTCTTTGGTGACCTGTTCTTTCCACTGGGATCTCACTTGCAGAGATCTTTCCTTTAGGTCGTTTTTTTTTTTTTTTTCCAGAGTGTCTTGGCTTTCCATGCCTGAAATACTCTCATGGGCTTTTCAGCCAGATCCAAATGCCTTAAGGGCTGATTCTGAAGCCAGAGTGCTGTTTAGGACATCTGCCATTCTGTGAGTCTGCTGTGTATCTCACTTCCCATGTTGGATTGTTCTCTCCCTTTTTTATTCTATCAGCTAGTATTTGCAAACACTAGTCTTGTTTATGTGATCCCTTTGGTTCTTAGTCCTATCATTACGATCAATTGTGAACAGAAATTGATCACCGGGACTAGTGAGATGGCATTGGTACAGGCCACTTTGATGGGATTGAATTGGAATCCCCTGGTATGTTTCTAACTCTACTGTTTGAGGTAAGTCAGCTTGAGCATGTCCCGAATTGCACATCTCTTCCCTCTCTTACTCCCACTCTTATATTTACCAGCAATCACTTTTCAGTTAAGTTTCAGCACTTAAGAATAACTGTGTATTGATTACAGTATTCAACCAAAAGTATTAAGTAGAACAAACAAAAAAAATACTAAGAGGGATAACGTATTAAGTTGTTCATCAACAGGGCAAGCACTGATCAAGTCACCGTTTCTCATGGTGTTCATTTCACTTTAACAGGTTTCCTTTTTGGTGCTTGGTTAGTTGTCATCGATCAGGGAGAACATATGATATTTGTCCCTTTGGGACTAGCTTATTTCACTCAGCATAATGTTTTCCAAGTTCCTAACAGGGATCACTTTTCAGCTGAAATTTAAACACCTAAGAATAATTGTGTGTTAATTACAGAGTTCAACCAATAGTACTAGAACTGATGTTTTAACTACTAGGCTAAATGCCTGCCCCATTACTTTGTTTTTGATACTACCCATCCTTGTGAATGTGAAAGAGTATTTCATTGTGGTTTTGATTTCCCTTTCTCTTGTGTCTGATGATGTTCAGCATCTTTTCATGTACATACTGGCCATTTGTACATTTTCTTTTTTTAAGATTTATTTTTTTATTTGAAAGGCTGGGCCAGGCCAAAGCCAGGATCCTGAAACTCCATGCAGGTCTCCCATATGGGTGGCTAGGGCCCAAGAACTTGACCCAGCTTCTGCTGCTTTTGCAGGCACATTATCAAGGAGCTGGATCAAAAGTGGAGCAGCTGGGAGTTGAACTAGCACTCCAGTGTAGGATGCTGACATTGCAAGTGTGGTTTAACCCCCTGTGCCACAATGCTAGCCCCAGTTTTCACATTTTCTTTGGATAAATACATATTCTAATTCTTTGCCAATTGTGAAATTAAGTTAACTTTTTAATGTTGAAGTTTAAGTTTTCTCTATACATTCAGGACAGTAAACCTCCACCAGATATGTGATTTGCAAATATTTTTCCCCTTCTAGAGATCATATTTGTATTTTCTTTATAGTGACCTTTGAAACACAGAAGTTTTAAATTTTGATGATAGCCGGCTTTGTGGCACAATAGGCTAATCCTCCGCCTTGCAGCGCCGGCACACCAGGTTCTAGTCCTGGTCGGGGCGCCAGATTCTGTCCCGGTTGCCCCTCTTTCAGGCCAGCTCTCCGCTATGGCCCAGGAGTGCAGTGGAGGATGGCCCAAGTGCTTGGGCCCTGCACCCCATGGGAGACCAGGAGAAGCACCTGGCTCCTGCCTTCGGATCAGCATGGTGCGCCGGCCGCGGCAGCCATTGGAGGGTGAACCAACGGCAAAAGGAAGGCCTTTCTCTCTGTCTCTCTCTCACTGTCCACTCTGCCTGTAAAAAAAAAAAAAAAAAAAAAAAAAAAAAAATTGATGATGGCCAATTTATTTTTTCTTTTGGTTGCAAATGCTTTTGCTGCTATATTTAGGAAACCATTGCCTAATTCAAAGTCATGCAGTTTATACCTGTGTTTTCCCTTAAGAGCTTTTTTCTTTCTTTTAAAGATTTATTTATTTATTTGAGAGGTAGAATTACAGACAATGAGAGGGAGAGACAGAGAGAAAGGCTTTCCATCCACTGGTTTACTCCCCAAATGGTTGCAATGACTGGAGCTGGGCCATTCTGAAACCAGGAGCCAGGAACTTCTTCTGAGCCTGTCACGCAGGTACCGAGGCCCAAGGACTTGGGCCATATTCTACTGCTTTCCCAGGCCATAGCAGAGAGCAGGATTGGAAGTGGAACAGCCAGATTAGAACTGGTGCCCATATGGGATGCCAGCGCCTTAGGCAAAAGATTAATCTGTGCCACAGTGCTGCCCACCCCTCCCCCCTTAAGAGTTTTATAGTTTTACCTCCTGCATGTATACCTGTGATCCATTTTGAATTCCTTTTTTGTTTATTGTGTGAGGTAGAAATCCAATTTGTTTCTTTATAAGTGGTTATCCAGTTGTCCTACCAGTGTTTGTTGAAAAGATTATTTTCTCACTGAGATTTCTTTTTACTCCTACTGGTTATCTTTTAACATGCATTTTTTGTCATCTTTTTCTTTTTTTATGGCAGAGGGCTTCTCTTTAGGTATATCCTCTGTATTTAACAGTAGCCTTTCCCATAACCGATGCCTTAGATATTTTACTAATGTCTCTCGAGCCAGACAGTAATCTCCATGAGGAGGCAATTTGCCAATCTTAATTCACCAGTTTGTGCTACAATGAATATTTTGGGATGAATGAATTAATGAGTTTTTCAGTGATTAGTTAGATTTTTCCTTTAGGATTTTGTTCTGTCTTGCAGCAAAATCAAACAGGTCCAGGGTAAGTGTTTTTAATCCTAAATCACAAGGGACAAGGGGTGAGGTGAATGAAGGACAAACACGATTGCATAGGAAAATCCTTTAATTTTGCCACCATATGATTCTACCATATTCATTTTATATTTTTTGCTAGTTTTTAATGTTTAGATGAATAAATTTATATATTTAATATATACAGATTTAGGAGCATAGTGGTACTTCCCACCCTCCTTCTTCGTTCCTTTCTTATTCTTTTAATTTTTACAATTATCTGCTTTCAGTTTATTTTATACTTATTAACTCTACATTAATAATTCAAAGAATAGTAAGAAGAAAAAAAAAAAAAACGCTACACACAACCAGGTCTGAGTTAAAGGAGAACCCATTAAGGACTGCAGATACCATCTAAGAAAATTTCATATTTTAACTCCATGCCCAGTGGTATTTTAGGTTAGGTGCCAAGAATTTTTAAACAAATCAAATTCCATAAGTGAATTCATGCTAACTCTGTCCAAAGTTACATTTCTGTATATTGGATCATTCACAATTTCACTTGTCCAAGCAAAATATTAAAAAATAATTTCCTGGCCCGCACCGCGGCTCACTAGGCTAATCCTCCGCCTTGCGGCGCCAGCACACCAGGTTCTAGTCCCGGTCGGGGCGCCGGATTCTGTCCAGGTTGCCCCTCTTCCAGGCCAGCTCTCTGCTGTGGCCCGGGAGTGCAGTGGAGGATGGCCCAAGTGCTTGGGCCCTGCACCCCATGGGAGACCAGGAGAAGCACCTGGCTCCTGCCTTCGGATCAGTGCGATGTGCCGGCCGCAGCGCACCGGCCGCGGTGGTCATTGGAGGGTGAACCAATGGCAAAGGAAGACCTTTCTCTCTGTCTCTCTCTCTCACTGTCCACTCTGCCTGTCAAAAAAAGAAAATAATAATTTCCTGTTTCTTTTTAGATTTGGACAAGGCTTGAAGTGTGACACTGCATCTTGAATAATGAGAAGAGGACACACATATATTGTTTATGGTTTCTGCAGCTCCAAAAGTGATTTAAGAAAAATACCCTGAGCACCCAGTTATCAAAGAATATTGAATTTATCTAAAATAATAAATGCTAAATTGCAGATAAAATTTTGTTTATGAAAATTATCAATAGGGAAAAAGGCATGATATATTGTTACTTACAAAAAGATTACATTGTACAATGATTTTAACTGGCTGAAGTTATGCTTTGCTCTGAATATTCTGTGACTATCTTGGTTTTAACACTAAAAATTCTATATCCCAGGAAGTTCCTCAGAACAGACCAAATTAAGATAGCCAGTCATCCTACATGAATGAGGATTATTTTAAAAATCAGGAAAAATGAGAAGTTATGTTAACCTCCCAATGAGTACAATTGACTTTTTAAAGTTTATTTCCTTTATGGCTATAAATTTGTTTTTATAATATATAAAAATTAAGAGGAAAAATGAACTTGAGACTAAAGAATATATCTGCCACTTCAGGACAAAACATGTTTGCTATTGCCAATGTTATTTGTATATTGCCAAAGGGATAATTAGGGGAGAGTATATAGCAAGAATTTCCTTCTTTCTTTAAGGACTTATTTATTCATGTGAAAGGCAGAGCGTGGAGGAAGAGGAGAAGAAGGGGTGGGGGGGCAAGCTATTTCTTCCATTTGCTGGTTTATGCTCCAGATAGCAACAATGTCTAGGGCTGGGTCTGGGGAAAGCCAGAAGCCAGAAACTACATCCTGGTCTCCCACAGGGGTGCCTCTCCTCTGCTGCCTTCCTAGGGACCTGGATTGGAAGAGGAGCAGCCAGGACTTGGACTTGAACCAGCATTCTAATATGGGATGCTGGTGTTATAAACAGTGGCTAAATATACTGCACCATAATGCCAGCCCCTTCCTTCTTTAATAGTGGCTATTCCAGCTATCTCAAAAGGAGTTATGGGGTGTCAGTAAAAACTAATTGAGATAGTAGAAATGAATGAAATAAAAGAAGCCATCGATTTGCATATGCATTTTTTTCCATTTTAGAAATGGAGAAAATTAGGAATACAATCTTGTGTTTTTAAGGGTTTCTGATTTTTTCCCTTGAAAAAAAAATTTTTCCCATTGTCATCATCTTTCCTTCATTTCTACTTCTAAGCAGGAACACCTGCTATCTACTTCAGTCATATTCTGGAGTCCTGTGAGTGAGAAATATGTTGTCAATGGCCTACTCCTCGAAAATCTTCCTTGAGAATATACAAGAACACATGACAAAAATATTCAGTGACCTGACATCTCATAGCTCAGATCCAGATCAGGATTTTATGAATATGAACTCAAGGCTAGAGGACCCTCCCGTGGTCTGATATTGTAAGACTAAAGAATGTGAAAACACTAATGTTGAAGTCATCTGTTGCACAGAAGAACTCCCTTTTTTTATTTGTTTAGAGCTGATTTTTAGAACTTTACACAGACATAAAACTGTTGTTTTCCCAATTATGAGGAATCATTCTCTTCTTTCTAATTATGGGGAATATCTTCCACTGAGCATCCCTGTCAAAGCAGGTATTACATTGTCTCTTTACCTGCCACAGTCTTATAGCACTTGTAGCAGGTGCTCAAAGATGGTTGGTAGTTTATAGTAATGTATTCCTAGGTTAACACTCTTTGTAGGTAAGGTAATATGAACAGGAATCAAAAAACAGGATAGCTATGGCCTTAGATTATGTTAATTACCAAACATGACCTTCCTTCTGAGAATATCTATAGTATTTAGTATCTTCATTATACAATCTACCAGCTAATTGATAGTTTAGTTTTCCAAATATTGTGAATATTTATCATTTTTATCCCCAAAAGATAAACTGATTTCTGACTCTGTTTTTCTCAATACCTGTTTAGTGCTGATCAGAAATTGTGTTCTTAAAAAAACCTGCTAACTAGGATTTAGTAGGTTATGTAGACATTGGGTAGATAATTGATTATTTCAGACATCACAGGACTTGAAGAAGATGACCTTGGTATGATACAATCCTCACAATTCCTAAACATGACTGTTGACAAGTTACCTTTTCTTGTTTACCAGTTACTTTACTTCTTTGATTCACTTGTAAAATAGAGACAATAATCTTTCTTGATTGGGAAAGATCAAATGAGATTATTTGATAAAATACTTTAACATCTGGAAACCATTCTGTAAATATAAGTGTTGATGATTATTTGAGAGTTGGGTGCTCATTATGACCTTTTAAAGTCATTCTTCTGCCTCAAAACTACAAGTAGACAATGCAGTCATAAACCTAGAGCATGGGTTCAGAAAGACATGTCTAAGTTATGCTGTTGGCACACATAAAGGGCTGGGTATGGCCGCTTAAAGCTTCTCTAATGAGATGTGGAATCTCTAAGAATATGTCAATGTCAGCTCTATAGAAAGATGTATGGATTAGGGTCCTTACTGCTTCTCATTATTATTACTTTTTACTTTCTTTAAAACAATGGTGCAAAAGGTATTCAACCAAACACATAGATATGGAAGGAAGTAAAGAGGTTAGGAGTAGCATGCAGCCGTTGTATGTCTTTCCAGTTTCTCTGTTCCTGAGAGAAGGAGAGAAGAAATGAAAAAAATACTACTACTACTCTACTAAAATGTTTATGCAATGAAAAGGTTAGTGAGAGATCACATTCTACAGTACTTACTCCTTTTTTCAATATAAGAAAGTTGTTCCAAGCATGAAACATTACAATACAATCAACTACAATGGCTACATTCTCTGAGTGTGAGAGAGAAGGAGCAGTGGTCAATCCATGCAAAGACTGGTTGGAAATGTTGAGGATACATGCAGAGTACCTCAAGAAATGGGGGTAACTTTGTCTCTTGGAAGCTTGAGCACTAATGCTTAAGGAAAAGAAACAGAAAGCGGAAGAAACGGTTCAAGGAGAATCGTCATTCTCTACTGGAGGGGATTCCTCATCTTGGGGAGGTTCTGCTAAATTTACTCCTGGCTCCTCCTCCTCCTCTTCTTGGATGGGAATAATTTCAATGTCTTCTTCATTCTTTGGTTGGGAAGATACTTCAGTTAGCTCAACTGCTTCTTCTTTCATCTCAACTGTTTGTTCCTTCTTTTCTTCAGCTGACAGGAGAACCACATTCTAGACAAAACAAAAATTTCTTGTCTTTTACCTTTGCTATCTTTTTCAACAGTCTCTACAAATATTTATCAAATACTTCCTAATTATTATGCTATATGTGTTACTTACTGTGTGCTTCCAGATACCAAGGTTGATTTCCCAGGTGCTCAAGTCCTGATCAGATAACTAACTTATCCAAACTCAGTTGCATGCTCTATTCATATAAAAGGCAACAAGGTCTATCATTTATGAAAATGAGCACAAGTGCCATAATGAACTATTGAATTAAGAATATTTATAACAATCTGAAAGATGGCTCTGGGGCTAGGAGTTATTGAAATGAACATAAATAAAATTGAATAATTAGATTTCAAAAATTTTACATACAAAGATTATACATATTTATGGGGTACGATGTGATAGAACTGGTGCCTCTAATCTGCCTTTATTCAACCTTCAGTCATCCTGCTTTTACACATTAACTGTGGAATCATGAAAGCAGAATTGAAGGAATGGTTAGTGAGAGAGTGCATAAAATGTAAAATTCTACTCACTATCTAACTATGGATTTATAATTTAAGATATTTCTCTATTATTTATCTGCTTTCAAGAAACATGCCAAATAATTTTTCCTGAAGTTTCTAGTTTCAAAGTGTCATAAGATTATGTTCCATAAATGATCCCCTTTGTGAATGTGAATTTTCTGGAGGAAGTTTATGGACACAGTGAACATTACTTACAGCTTTGGGTCTGGAGCACATTCTTTTCCACTCATTCTCAACAATACCAGCTGTCACAAGTTTCTGGAAGAAGGCAAAGATCAGCATCACTGACAAGATGCCCTGAAAAACAACAGAAGGATGAAGGTAAAAATGCAGTAATAGCACAAAGCATGTGGTTGGTACTTAGTCTCAAATCACATTGTTTCCAGGGGCCGGCGTTGTGGCATATCAGGTAAAGTCACCGCCTTAGATTTCGGTATCCCATATGGCACAACTTTGAATCCTGGCAGCTCCATTTCTGAGCCAGCTCCCTACTGAAGCATCTGGGAAAGCAGTGGAAGATGGCCAGGTAGTTGGATCCTTGCATCTACATGGGAGACCTGGATGAAATTCCTGGCTCCTGGCTTTGGCCTGGCCCAGACCTGGCCATTGTGGCTGTTTGGGAACTGAACCAGTGGATGGAAGATCCCTCTCTCTCTCTCTCTCTCTGTAACTCTGATCTTCAAATAAATAAATACATCTTTAAAAAAAAATAGTTCCAGCTATAGGTTATGATACAGTGTCATTCCAAGGAGATTGCTCCATACTTTGGAAATGCTTATTTTTACCACCACACCCCCAAAACTACATCAAAAACTCTTGAGGTAAAAGACGTTCATTATATCTAAGGCATTTCTTTTATGTTTATCTTAGTCAATAAGAATGATAAATGAATAATAATGTTAGTAGTAATTAATAAGTAACATTAAAGCAAATGCAAAGCACTTCATATGTAGCAGACACTATTCTTAGTATTTTGTAAATATAAACTCATTAATTCCTCAAAACAACTCTATAAATAGTGTTGCCATATACATTTAGTAGTTGAAGAAATTAGCACAGAGTATGGTTAAAATTCTAGCTCAAAGTTATATGGGTGGTAAGTAGCAGGCCTAGAGTTTATGCTCCTTATAAGGATTCCCTAATTTTTCCCTGGAAAAAAATCAGTTCCACACTTACCAAGAACACAGATTGTACACTGTAACAATATTGTATAGATGGAGAGTTTTTCTCAGAGGGGATAGTTGGTTCACAGTTGTATATATTAATAAGTGAGGTGGAAGCTTTAATAAGATTCAGACTCTCCATTTTTAAAAAATGGGACATTGTAATATTAAGTATGTCCATGATCAAAAGAATTATTCCAGAAATTGCAGCAAAGAGGCTCAATGAATTCATTATCACTTTTCCTTTGACCTGAAATTGAGACACAAATTCATGAATTAGTTTTGATTTCCATTTGGAAAATACAAGCTAGGAAGAAATTCCAGATGCCGTTTCCCAACTCACAAAGTCACTGAACCTAAATTGGACTAAAGTTCTTCTCACCATTGTTTTTAGTCTCTTTTTGTATCTATAAAATAATATTTTCCCCCTTCCTGTTCCTTTGTCAGTCTCATTTTATACTACCACTGTCCATTCAGTTTGTCAAACCAAGATTCTAGCAATGATCCGTAATAATTTTATCTTGTATTCTTGCACTCCTATCACTGCCATTATCTTAGCAGACATTCATTAAATGGTTCTTGCATAAATTAAAACAAATATTATCTAGATTATTCTCTGAATACGAAAATAGAGGTTTTCACAGCCCACTTATAATCAAATGGGAGTAAAAAGCACCAACACTACTACTTACTTTCTATGGAGATAGGTTGTGATCAGTCCCAGCCTACAATCTTTAAAAATGCAACTAGGACTGATGTCTTTGGGTAGCATAGGTAAGAGACTGTGCATGTTCTACCTTGCAGTGCTGATAAGAGGTTGAAATGGAAAGATACATGTGACAAGTACTTTAAAGGTATGGAGTTACTGATGATCATTTCATGACACACACATTTCATGCCTGGCTATGTGACCTACAGATGGTGAGACAGTATGTGTAACTATTTTGGGGGAATAGAATAATTTGGTCTTGCTAAGCATTTTACCCACCCAACATTGAGTTAGATCACTTCTAGAGAAGAATCATCTCAATATACTCAGTCCATCAGTGACTTTAAAATTGACTCAACTTAGTCAATAAAAAGTGTTGGGAAAGGGTTTTCTTGGGAGAAAACTTGCTGCTAAACTCTTCCTCACACATTCAGAATCATCCCCAGGCATTATATGAGTGGCATCACACTGTAGCTCTTTAGAGCCTCTGAAACATGCTGATTTCCTATGGCAACAAGGGCTCTACCTCTATCTTACAGGTGAAAATGTAGTAGTACGTAGCAGTACTTAAGGTTAAGGCTATAACTTAGCTAGATAGTATCACATTGATAATTTTCCCAAGTAGTAGTCTGGGAGAAATGACATAACTTTCAAAAACGTCTATTATTTCCACCCAACAGGTAACATTCACAGAACTGTGAATACAGGCTTCCTCGCTCTGCCTTTAGTTCTGTTTCCACAGATATATTTCAGGTAGATCTCACTTTCAAGTTTTCCATAAGTAAAATCACAATCCATTCTAGAGGATTCTAGAAGGACATATGGTTACTTGCCAAATTGTTCCTGGGATTTTTCTCTGCTGCCACCAGGAGTGATCCTGAAAGAATATACTGTAAAAAGAGAGAAGAGGTGTGAGGGGAAGTGGGAGAAAGAGAAAAAGTGGAGACACAGGGAGATAACATTTTCACATTAAGAACTGGTCATAAAAAAGTCACCCGTACTTCTAACCTCTTTACTAAACTATGCACCCATTTTCATCTGGTTCATTCACTTTATAGCAGTTGTATTTTTTCCTTTATTCAGCCTTAACCACATTCAGTTTAACCATCTGGGGATCAGTGAGTAGGTACATAAGACAAAGGAGAAAAGAACTCATATTTCCTTCTCAATTCATAGTAACATGAAGTTAAGAGCTTTATTTTTAGTTTTTCTTTTATTTATGGAGATGATCTTTGAGTTCACAACACTTTTAAGTGATTTTAATGCCAATCAATATAGTAGGAAATACTTGGCCTGAATGTGATAGCCACTCTATTAAAATGTTGGCTGCTACAGGAAATGATGAATATTTCTCATCTTCCTCTTCTAGTGTTCAAGTTGTAAAAGATTGGAAATTTGTTCTAAAAATGTCCATCCTGGTCTCACCTTTATAGTGGCAGCCATGAAGAGTGTCATGGGGATGTAAACAGCATTGGCCCATGCCACATCTGGGCAGGATAACAGATTATAAGAACATAGACATGAAGCAGCTCAAGGGAGTGCTGCTCTACTAATAAGCAAAAGGCAGTTGATCTGGGCTAGGACTAATTTCATCAGGTGACATAGAAACAACAGAACCGTCGTGAAGGAGCAGGTGGGGGAATGAGATGTCCTTGCTCCCTTCTGCTTTCCCAAACACTGCTGAATGGTCCAGATATTTACTGTCTTCCCTATCAAAATTCACTGTGGACAGGTCCTATTTTGAGCAATATTTCTTTCCTTTGTAGACCCTCACAGGGCTTATTTCACTGAATGCACGTGAAGCATGACCACCAACTCTCAACTATGAGATTCACAATTTAATCATTCTCTTCGCACCTAATTATTTTAACTGAATAACCTATTTCCTACTCATCCATTTTCCTAAACACAAATAATCTGGCATAGCCTCATGAAGCCTTTAGACATTGTACTGCACCAATCCACAAATGGTTGTTAAGTTTTCACTCACCATAACGCCTCCCCAGAGAGGGTACCACACAGCCACACAGATGGGTGCATAGACTCCCCCAATAGGGATCATCAGAAGGCCCCCGAGGGCAATGTGGAAGAACCCATTCATAATCTGGACAGCCTGGGGAAAGAACATGGGTGCCAATGAGTGAACTGAAATCATCCTTGGAAGGCAAAGGTAAGGCTGGCAGCCCTGGCTCCTGACTTGGGTCTGTGCAATGTGTGTGAAAGACGGAGAGGAGGTGCTGAGAATTTTGCCCTTTTGTTATTTAGATCTGTATTCCTCACCATATGAGAGAAGCAGGAAGACCTGGGATTCTAGCAATGGACTGAGAAATCCCTAACCACACAGGACTTCAAACAAAAAGGTGTATAAGATCACCTTGAGGTGATCCAAGTGATAACTTTTCTGATACCACCCTGTGTTGTCCCACTGGGTCAGGGACTGAATTCTGCGCATGGGTTTACAGCATCAGCTTCTGGAGACCATCGAAACCCTAGGGTATGGAATACAGGGAAGTGACTTACCCCCAAAGCCTTGGATTCCCTGAGGAAGAAGCTTTGTGTGGGGCCCACCACTGAAGGTGTCTTCCTGAAGACTACTTTTGGAACAGGCTGCATGGCAATTGGGCCCTTCATGGGCTCTCCAGGACAGTTTCCACTCACTGAATTTCTAGGTGTTGTCATTTCACTTGCAAGACTCCTAAAAGTGAAACAATAAAATGAGGAGAGAGGGAACACATTTTTTTTTTTCCAATTGTGTCTTGGGTGTTGCATCTGAATGCTTCTCTCAATATTCCCTCCCCTGTGGGTGTCATTGAGGGTAGACAGCCTTGGCTTCTTTTGGTGACCTTAGACCTGAAGCAAGGCTTACTGCCAGGTTCTGAGAAGAGCCCTGGAGGGGTGATCTTAGGCCAGGACATCGTGACAGCCATGCTGGGGGCACAGTTCACCTCTATGTCCACATGCCTTGTTTCTCATCCTTGATGCTTTTCTTATGCTTTACAATAGGAAGATGTCTTCTCTATTGACATGTTTTTGTGCCTTTTCTTATCTACCCTTGTCTATTGTGATGGCCAGAGGCATCAAGACAGAGTGTGGAGAGTACGGTCCTTTACCTGAGGAGCTGACCGTGGGCCTCTGCCTGCCTCTAATTCTACAATTCATGTTGAGAAGGCACTTTAATGTCATGTGAGATCATGGCCTCTTAGACCACATTGCCTGGGATTTAACAGTGGTTCTTCTATTTTCTCTGAGACTTTGGGTAAGTGCTTTAAAGTCTCTGGGCCTCGAGTTCTTCAACTGTAAAGTGAAATGTGAATATAATAATTCTAATCTCATAGGTTGTTAGAGTATTTAAATAAGCCAGTGGTTTGTGCATGGCTGATGTCTTTTCATTAATTTGTAGCTCCAGTGTCAGCTGCTCAGAGAAGCTTTTCTGGACTTTGAATATATAGCACATATTCCTATTTATATTTCTCTCTCTCTCCCTGTCTCTCTCCCTCCCTGTCTCCCTCCCTCCCTGTGTCCCTCCCTCTCTCCCTCCCTCCCTCTTATAATGTACTGAAATTAAAGAAAATAAATATTTGCTTCATAGCTATTATCACTATGAGAAATTGCCGAATTTATTTAATTGCTTATGTCTCTTTCTACAGAATGTTAATTCCATCAAAACACAGATTTTCTTTTTTAAGTATCTAAAATAATAGTTTAGTAACTTCATGATAAATATTATTAAAGAAATAAATTTATACCAATCACCATTTCTGAATAGATGCTATTTTATTCTGTTGGTGTTCTTTTTTTTTTTCTTGCATTTCTAAGCATTAGTTTCTATTTTGTCCATCTATAAAGTAAAAACCACAATACCACTCTGATGGAGATGTTATAGGAAATAAATGTGCTATCATATGTGAATATACCCAGAAAGAATGCGGCAAATCTTTTTTGTTGGTATTCTTGATATATTTGTTTCTGAAGTAAGGTGGCAATTCCAGCTCTAACATTTTAATATTCTGTTCAGTCCTCATATTTTCTGCTTCCTTTTGGCAATCATAAATCAGTCAATTAGGTGAATTCTTTTGGAACTTTCGTGGACCCTGGAAAGCCCTATTTGGGGGATGCATCTTTGACCTTGTGTTTATGAATTATGAGTCACATACAGAGACTTGAAAATCAGACTGTGTGTATAATTTAATACATATCTTAATAAAGTTACACAGAACTGGGTACTGCAGGTGTGCTCTATGGCGGGTTGTTGGGTATCTGCCACATTTGTACTCTGTTTATAGTCAAAATGAAATTTCACACAGGACATCTCATTTGAGCCTCATAAAGCAGATAGTGGCTGAATCTTTGCTTCTGTTTTGTAAAAGAGGAAACAAGGGCAGAGAAAAGTTAGGTGACTTTTTCAAAGTTACAGTTACTAAAGACTAAGAACGAGGATCCAGATCTATCAAATGAAGTATCCATGGGACCAGGATGTTTTGTCTCTCCTATGGGGAAGAGGACTCCAGTCTTTCTCTCGTGACTCCCTTTCAATTATATCTCATTTTTATGACTACAAATCAACTGAAAAATAGATTATGTGTCTGGGGCACAGGCCAGACAGGGAGAGAAGAGGCTGTGACTGAATGTTTCTCATTTGATTTTTTTCCCATGCCCTAGATTACCAGCTGTCATGTTTCCTGGTGATCTGCATTATACCACAAACCACATCCACAAGACCACCGATAAAAAGGAATACATTAATTTAGCCCACTAAGGAGTTTGTAAACTGATTTGGTCAATAGGCAGAATTTCTAGAGCTGGCAAAACCTCAAAAACCGTTCTGTTGATTTCACAAATGAGGAAGCTACAGCTTAGGGAAGGGAGGTACCTTGCTAAAATCCTCACTTAGTAACAGAGCCAAAATGGATAGCAGTCACCAGGGCTCTGATGTTGATGGTCTTTTTTTTTATTCTTTTTCCTTAAGATTTGTTTGTTTATTTATTTGAAAAGCAGGATTACAAAGAAAGAGAGGAGGAGAGACTGAGAGAGAGCTCTCTATTCACTAGTTCACTCCCCAGATGGCTGCAATGGCCAGAACTGGGCCAGGCTGAAGCCAGGATCCAGGCGCTTCTTCCAGGTCTCCCACGTGGGTAGCAGGGGCCCAACTAGTTGAGTCATCTGCTGCTGCTTTTCCCAGGCCACTAGCAGGGAGCTGGATCAGAAGTGGAGCCGGAACATGAAATGGTGCCCATATGGGATGCTGGCATTGCATGAGGTGGCTTTTATCCGCTGTGCCACAATGCCAGGCCATGTTGATGATCTTCAGTATCACCGGCAAGACCAGAGTTATAGTTGTGTACTTGAGCACCTGCTATGTACCAGGGACATTGTGTGTGTTATTTCCAACTCTCTCAACACCTTTCTCACTAAGTAGGCATTTCATCTCCTCCATAATGATGTGAAAATGACTTTAGAAGAGGCTAATTAACTTTACCAAGGTCCAATGGCAAATATGGAATGTTCTGGAAGTCATTATTCTCCTCCCCAGAACAGTAAGTGTAGAGAAGATAAGGTGCAAAAGCCATCACTATACTCCTAAATCTCTATATATGAAAAACATGAAATATGTTCACCTTATATGAATAAAAAATTGTATTAAAAAAGTGCAAAAGTCATCAGTTTTTGTACTGGAAAGAGATGACTATAGTACCATTGTTTTAATTTCATGTTATCAACTGCTATATTTGGGCTTTGTCTATACTATTGGTGAGCGAAATCTTTTATGCAAGCAAATTCTACTCTGGCTGTGTCTGTAGTCACCAAAAGCAGTGATAATCTGGTGGGGGGCAACCATATTTGCACAAAGCCTTCAATGAGTATTACTACACTACAGTGGTTTATAAGCAAAAACATGGCAGTTTTTACATAATACTCCATTTTTTTTTCTGGAATCAGTCTCTCTAGAATATTTGTGTTTGTTTGTTTGTTTTGGTGCCAGGGCACTGTAGGTTGACTGCGTAATAAATTTTCAGCCCGTGGAAATACATAAAATGGATTTTTTAATAAGACAACTCTGGTGTTTCTTCCAAATGAAGTGACATTATATTTCTGAAGTTCTGAAATGGTCAACAGACCATGGAAAGGCATTTCTTTAGACTCCTGCTTGAAACCAACAGCTTCAGCAAACTACTGGTCTTGATTCAGGGCCAATATAAAACGGATATTAAAGATTGCTGAAACTTTGCCTTGTCATTTACAAAAAAATTTCTCAATGACTTAAAACAGTGACAACACAGTTATGATCAAAGATGAGTTGGTAGCTTAGTAGTGATTATTTGCCACATTAGTAAATATGTGAAAATGGTATTTTATTTCAGTTTTTATCATGCACTATTCCATTGTATTGCACACAGCAATTTCTGCAAATCACTTTTGACTTTTAAAGGTACAACTATTTCTGTGCCATCCACTGAAAAGGAGCCCAGAACTTTCATTGATTTTGGCTTGAATAATAACATTTTGGCCCAATGATCCCATCATCTACTGAGATTCAGAGGGGCCCCCTTTTTGACTGAAGTGTGCACTGACTCCCAATCCCAGAGTCCCCTTCCTTTAATCGGGCCATGTCCCTAGTCACCACCAACAGCGCCTTTCCTGCACCCAGCTGCTTCATAGCTCTGCCTTCCTCTCTCCCCACTTCCTCACCACCCACTCACTCCTCACTGCTTTGCAGTTAGTTCCTGTCAGAGTCATTCAACAGGAACTGCTATATGGAGACTGCGCTAGCGAATCAGGGACCTTTTCTCAGGCATCGCACCTCAGATGGCTTTATTTCTGTCACCCCTGCCTCAGAAATTGAAGCCACAGTTCAGCCCGTGTGACCAATTCACACCACTTCTCCCTCTGTGATGTCTCCCCAACATGGGCCTCTCTCCTCCATTCAGTGTCGCCCCCGTGAATTCGGGACTCATTTATTTTCCTGGGTTGTTAGCACAAAAATGTGTGCATCTGCGCACGATCTTTCTCGTTTCTAATCTCTCCTCCACAAGGCTGCTAGATCAGGTTCCCTATATCATGGCTCAGTTCAGGCTGTTCCTGACCTGGAGCTCTTTCCCTGTCACTGGCTCCTGGAGAAACAGAAACCTGCCATCTGGTTCTTCAAAGCTTTCACACTTCAGTCCACCACGACTTTCAAGGTTTGTATCCCATTGCTCCCCACCAGGGCCACTGGTCTGGAGGTGTCTTCAGTTCTCTGCTTTGAGTCCTTTCCACTTTGAAATGCGCCCTTCCTCTTCACTTCCAAGCTCTCTGCTGAGACACTCACATCACCTGGGGCTGGTCTTGCTCTCCTCATCTGATCACAGGGCAAAGCTCACACTTCTTCGCCTCCCTCATTTGCCGCTACTTTCTTTCTAAGTTAAATGGCAGTGCATACAAGGGAGTGTAAATTTCTCAAGGAAATTGTCCTATTGAGATAATATTGGGAAGCTGTTCCCTACATAGTGTAAACATTAAACTGAACAAACAACATTATTGCTTCCTCAGAAATGTTTTTACAGATGCTTAGGATGTCAGTCTAAATGGTGGTCATTTCAGTTCACCTGATCAGTGAGATTAAGTCATTTTATAAGAAACTAGAAAGTGGAGTCATACACACACACAGGAATGATGCATATATACATACGAGTTTTAGGAAAAAATTCGCCATGGTCAAACATTAATTTGTTTTGTCCTCGTTAGAGCAAACTTCCCAGGGCCTGCTCTTACTCTGGGCTTCTTATGTGATGGATCTGAGGCAAGATTTTGTGCTGGTCTGGTATCTGCCAATCCCCGCCACATAAGGTTAGTCAGGGAGGCTTAATATCATTCAGGTGTATTTACATTTAACAGGACATACGTGGAGAGAAAAGCCTTTAAATCAAGGAAGGGAGTTATTTTCATTATGTCCATAACTGTTTTCTTTCTTGGTCTACAGCAGTCCTAAGGACTTCAGTTCATTTACTCTTTTTTTTTTTTTTTTTTTTTTTTTTTTTTGACAGGCAGAGTGGACAGAGAGACAGAGAGAAAGGTCTTCCTTTTCCATTGGTTCATCCCACAATGGCCGCTGCGGCCGGTGCACTGCGCTGACCCAAAGCCAAGAGCAGGTGCTTCTCCTGGTCTCCCATGGGGTGCAGGGCCCAAGGACTTGGGCCATCCTCCACTGCACTCCCGGGCCACAGCAGAGAGCTGGCCTGGAAGAGGGGCAACCGGGACAGAATCCGGCGCCCCAACCGG